GCAGTTTCGATCGTTGTCGTTAGCGATGTTTCCTGGACGCTAACTTGACAGATGTTGAGCGACGAATTTCAAAATTGGCACCTTGCAGCGCCCAATTATCGTAAACTTTTTGCCCGGCGTTATTTTCGTTTATAAAACGTTGTTCAAGGCGGAAAACCTCTGACGAATAATTCCCGCGAATTCTCACCCACTGACCCTCCAACGATATTCTTTGAAGCGAGTTGTTGGCAGACTATATGACAGGATACAACGCCTTTATTGACATTTAATTTATGCACTGACGAACGCATTGTCGCCTTTATTACCGCTAATCCGCTACCTGGTTTATTAGCCGTTTGATGACTGACCGTACAATATCAGCCCATATGATTAACCGGTGGTTTCCCGCAGCGTAATGGAGCAAAAGGAACTGTTACAGTCACTTTGCACCCCTGAAGAGGGTTCATATTTCCCTCATAAACGAATGAAACAAGAGAACATCGGTTATCGCGTTTAATGATTAATCATGGAAAGCTGCTTCGTAAGCAACTGGTGTTTCAATTCTTTGAATATGTTTATTTAATTGTCTTTTGGTTACATGGCAGACACCAAGACCTGATCAGTTCAATTTGTACAGTCCACCCAGAAACTGAACGAATAGTCTACCATACCATTTGCTTCTTCCTGTGCTGCTTACGTAGTTCAGTCTTTTACTTGCTTAGGATTGCGTGGAACTGTCACTAGTTTTACTTCTGTTAGTTAGAATGGGGGTAACGTTAATTTCTTGATCGTCGTTTTCATGACAATGTCAGTAAAGTAAGCTTCGATTTAACGTACTGTTAAGAAAAGCGGTCATCACCCATCTTTAAACTAACGGTGCTTTGTCGCATCATATCGTATTGATATGCCTATTAGAAAGTCTCCAAAATCCTTTATGACTACAACAATATTCTTTTGCAAATTTTTACCGTAATGGTGAGCGAAGATGTGCCTCCTGTCGAACTGGTATGATGGACTCTAAATCCGAGTCTCTCTTACCAATTGACTTATTTCAGAGTTCAGGTCGTTCGGCTAGTTTATTGCTAAGTCACTGAGAATACGTGTTTTCGATGCTTGCATATTTTTTTGCGTTGATATGATTTTGTGCTTGAATAACGACCAAAGATAAACTTATCACTGTTGTTTAGTAATTTGATCCTTGTTTTTTATTTATGAGTAACTTCTTGCGTTGACTTAGTCGACTGTCAGCAAGTTACGGAGAAT